GGTGTGTGCTCTACCTCATTGTTCCTTCCTTCTGTAGCCCAGGCTCCGACTGTACCGCTCAGCTGATCGGATGCCCTGACGATCCTCTTCTTTTCCACTGAATCAGTTTCATCTTCTTTTAATTAAACCTTCAGAGTCGTTATGCTCTCTATATTTCAGAGAACAGAATGAAAAATGACCAACACCTTATGCTGACCTTTCTCAATCACTGCCTGCTGGCGAGGCTCGGCGAAGTGATTACCCTAACATATTTATCTCATCTAAAGCACACCTCGTACTTAATCCTGATGGCCTTTTCATTATCCCTTTGACCGAGCGGAGCGAAGAGGGTTGCACCGTCTCCCAGCAGCTTTTGGAGCAGCCTCGTTTTGATTCTGTCGTGGTGCATCCATTTGGGCTAGTTAAACCCACACTGTGCTGGAACAGAGGTCATCAGTCATCTGTGCCTTTTTTATCTTTCTCTGTCAGTTTTAAATCATAAATATTCTGAAAAAAAAAGCTCATATTTGCATTCACAACCACACTCAGGCTTCCTTTCTTACTGAAAATGGAAGATATTTTAATTGTGCAGTTATACCGTTAGCCAGACCCTCAATCACCTTCCAAACTGCCTTAATAGAGCTCCGGACCCCACGTGACTCTCAGTTAGTGGACGCCATTTTGGCATGCAAAAAAGGTAAACAAACACGGATGTAACCATGAACATGAACGGGATCCGCTTGGATTTTACTTCGTCGGAGTTTACTTCACACTTTAAAACAGAAGAAATCGTTTTATATAGTCAGAAATTAAATAGACTAAACATCTCCGACCCTTACCGTGCCCCTGGGATACTTTTTAAAAACGCCAGAAGCTGTCGGAGCGGACTTCTTACCGGCACAACACCGGACCTGACCGGGGAACCCCTTGGGATTTACCCGGAGGAGCTGGCTCCGGCGGCTGGGGACAGGGCAGTCACGCTACTGACCCCGCAACCCGACTCCGGATACGTGGATGAAAATGGATGGACGGACGGACAAATAACAGATTTACACGTAAGTAGTCTCGGTGAGACAGATAATAGCAATCCAAAGTGCTTTTTATGTGTGATCTGACAACTGATCAACCATTGCTTATAAATGAAATACAGCTTAGCCGGTTAATTGCTGTGATCATAAAACACGTAAACGGCAGCACGCAGAAATCACGAGGCAACGTTTTACGTGACGTTTACTTGTTGCTATGAGTAATAAGACAGAAAAAGCCCCGCCAAAATAAGTTTAGGAAGCCCACTAAGAATCATAATAAAAGCATTTAAAATAAATACCACACACAGTTGAGGAAACATTGGTTTAAGTACCTGATATGAAGCGGTCGCTGCATAAGTGAAAACCTTTACTCTCGGGATCCCACAGCTTCATTTTAGCCCGGTCACTAGCGCGTTTTATTACAATGATCCAACGTTTGCGGCGCTCCGGATCTTGGGGAATCCTGTAGATGGCTCATTCCTTATGTCGTCCGCGTCTGTTCTGCATCCTGGGGCACAACAGGAATCTACCATATTTCCCGTTTGATTGAGTTTTCTGACAATAACAAATAGTCCAGCTGCCGGCTTCTGCCTGCCAAGATGGCGCCGTTTCGATTTGAACTGTTGCATGCCGGGAGAAGTGACGTCAACTCCCGGAGCTCTATTGGGGTTCAACTATGGCAGAGGAGTGCCGCTGGTCATAAAGGGGTGGGCATGGTCAGCATCAATACTCAAGTAGGCTTTGGAGTTTAAACAAGGCTCGGGTGGGACTACGGAGTCCAGTGTGGGACAAAAAGGTCTCCCCCACACAGACTGGTCCATTCTGACACGACCAGCTCTTCTGGTCTGTTCTGAGGCTCCGCCATCTTCACTTTGTCTTGATAACTAAGCCCCTTTAGTCAATGCATTGTGATTGGATCATTGACTATTTGTGCAGACGTACCTAATAAATTGGCAGTAAACATGCGTGTGTATTATTTCCTTACTAGCATATAAGCTAGGTTTGACCGGATTTGCTACACAACAACGACAAATCATGTCCAGATATTATGAATTCTTCATAGGAGGTGAATTTTTATTTAACTAACAAAAGTGAACTTGGTCACACATTGTGGTGCTGGCAGTGTACATCCTATGAAATATCACATGTTTGTGTTGACCCAACGGTGTGATCCAGGTCCAGTTATCAGACTTTGAGGATTTCTCCAAGTTGAGTCAGTATTCCGGCTGGAGTCCACATTCCGGCTATCAGATATTTCAAATATTAAAAATGGCGATAAAATAAATAATTTTTATGCAATAAATCCTCTTGACCAGTTGTTTTTTCACCTCTAGGAGCCAAAGATGTTTTAACAAGATAAACTTCACACATCCAACATGTCAGCCACTACAGCTGTAGGTACATTTAACTCTGCTAATCTTATTTTCTTTGCTATATATAATATAATATAAATCTTATCACGTCGTAACAAACCCAAAGAGGCATTTGGCTTGTTGAGAACAGATTTTCAGACGAACAGTAGGTGGCAGTGCTTCCTCATCAAACTTGATGATGGCTGCTGACTGCAGCCAGAACATGTCAGATGATCAGATTAAGGAGCAGCTTTGGCCTGGAAATGGTCAAATATATGTATGTTGGCCCTTTTTCAGGTTAAAAAAGACGTCAAAGGAATAGGTAGGGTTGTAAATCTCTATTCGGGTTTAAAATGCTGCAAATGATGACGATGTTAAGTTGCTTGGAGCAGATTTTCAAAATAAAACACCAGAACAATGTTTTGCATTCAGTAAAACACATTTTGTGCAACGTAACATGGAGGCTGCATGCCCGTGCTGCTCGTTTAACGTTAACTGAACAGGAATTCCTTTGGTTCACTTCAGACCTGTATGAATTTTATTGGCTTGTATGGGATTTGGGCAGGAAACCAGAGCTAATGCCCCCTCTCCCACTTCAAACGGATGCCATGCACCCTTAAATGTCATGGGGTGGTTAGAGAGTTGAAGGAGGGAGGAAGAGGAGGAGAGAGATGGAAGAGTGAGAAGCTGTGGCTCACAGAGAGAAATCCAGCCACTTTGGACCCTCTGTGAGCTTATCAGTAATGTGTGCTGGATGTTGCTTTTCTGAGGCCGCTAAGCCAAACCAGATGCAGGTTTAGCTGCTTTGTGCCACTATGTGTCAGGTACAGAGCCGGGTCGACCCGGTCGCTAGTTCTGGAAGATGCTGCAGATGTTTCAGGTTCATCACTTTGACTCCAACAGTTCCTCTGAAACATTCAAAGCGCTCATTCTTGGATTATGTCAATACATTTGCAGTGGTCTTTAGTATAAATAAATGTTATGTGAGTCATTCCCGGTAGAAACAAAAGCTCTGGCTCTCCTGTTTCAGGAAGTCGAAGTTATTCAGAGGAGGGGTGGCAGAAAATTACAGGATTATGAGTCTAAAGCTTCTTCACTCTGAATGTCCCTGGAGCTCCTGCACAGACCCAAAATCATTGACTCTAATCAAAGCATTCACACTGGCGGAGGTGCAGTGCGGTACAGGTCCGGTTGTGGAGTGCTGGAAAGTTTCCATATGATGTCTGTTGTTCGGGACGCTGCATGTTAAAGAGGTGACGTGAGACGTGTTTCTGCGAGGTGCATCTGATAGATTTCAAAATGAAAGTTAAAGTCCCATCAGTTGTCACACACACACACAGGTGTGTTAGAAATGTGTTCTCCGCATTTGACCCATCCCCTGGGGGAGCGGTGAGCTGCAGACACGGCCGCGCTCGGGAACCATTTGGTGGTGTAACCCCCCAATCCAACCCTTATTGCTGAGTGCCAAGCACGGAGGCATCGGGTCCCATTTTTTCAGTCTTAGACCCGACCAGGAATCGAACCCTGATCTCCCAGTCTCAGGGCGGACACTCCACCACTAGGCCACTGAGCTGGTAAAACCCGCTTCACAATGTTTTTGCCAGCTTTAGCTTCATTATTAATGACGGGGATAACACTTCCTAGTCTACGATAATTTTACGGGTAGATCTTTAAACATATTGTGTCAGATTTCTAATCATTTGGTGCTCTTATGGGAGCATTTTTCTGGAGACGTTCAGCAGAAAAACCACAGTCGGTGTGAATGACAGTTCATCTGGAAGCCGTACAGAAATCCTCCGTCCTGCATGCGAACGGGCCTTAAAGGGGCATTATGGACTCTGTAAAGTCCCTTTAACTCATTAATATTCATGATATTCAGAAATCTCACATCTGATTCCATTTGCTTTGCAACGCTGATGTTTTATCTCCAACAACACAAGCCTGAAGGCGTTCTGCCTTGTTGTGGCATCGCTAATGCTAACGGTTAGCTTCTACTAACTGAGAAGTGCTCTGCTCTCTCCTGGATGCTAGCCATCCCCCACGTGAGCCAAGATGAGTGAGTCCATAGAGGCGAATTTACAGTGTGAGGCAGATCTGTCAGGTTTTTCTAATCTGAGCATTCCTCTGTCCATTTTCTCTTTGCAGCTAACGCAGGAAGTAAGGCTAGAAAACCGTTCTCACGTTCGACCTGCACGCTAAACTCAGAGCGATCGATCGCATCTCAAATACAAGTAAAAAACAGTTTTTCGGTAAACTTGGTCTTTAAAAATCTGATCAGTGGTGTGTGTGTGTGTGTGTGTGTGTGTGTGTGTGTGTGTGTGTGTGTGTGTGTGTGTGTGTGTGTGTGTGTGTGTGTGTGTGTGTGTGTGTGTGTGTGTGTGTGTGTGTGTGGTGTCTTTCTACTGGGGTTTACAGGATTTTGTCCCATCTTCTCCAGCGTTATTTTATTTCCATGCAGGCAGCCATGACACATTCTCTCCTTCTTCTGTCTTTGTGTGGCTTGATTTTACAGACCTATGAATTTCTCTCCGTGTCACTTTGTCTGGAACAGAAGTGACTAAACAGCCACACTGCATTTGTTTGTTTTCAAGCTGAGCACGATCATCTTTAAGGTTTTTCACCCTCTTCCTCCTCCCTCAGCGTCACGTTGAGGCCGTGCACGCCCACACCCTGTTATTGCGCTGCTGTGTGTGTGTGTTTTATTAACGTCTCACTGCACCGTTTAGCCTTTTGAGGAACACTCTTATGACTCGGCTGTGTCATTGGACTGTTGAACATGTTGAAGCACAGCGAAGTTCAGCTTCTCATGGCTGTGACTAAATCCTTCACATTTCCAGCTTGCCAGCAGCACGCTCCTCCCTCCCTGCGGCGCTCTTTGGCAAGTGGAAAACGCCATCTCTCTCGTCATCGGGATTATACACAGCTCGCTTTGACTTTGACTTGGAAACCATCAAGACTCAAATGCACTGGTAACTGACCTGTGACCTTTCTCATCATTTGATGAGGAAAACGAGTCTCATCACTTTTCCTCTCAGGCTCTCATGGACCCTGAAGGTCTGGGTCAGGTTTTGCTCAGGCTTGTGATGTCTCGCTGTCAGACAAGCGTGATCCACTGCCACTTAAGAAGAGGAAGAAATACCTAAAAGGCCGGATGAATGGGGAATTCCCAGATCCAGATATTTATTCTTAAAAATTTGAGTTAAGGAGCGTCTGCGATGCTATTCTGGAAAGACAAAGCTGGCGAACGGTATCAAAAAAGTTCTTTTGATGTTTTTGTTGCATCACAAGCACGCAAATCCATCCGTGTGTCAGGAACTGCTCTGCTGGATGACTGGTCTAACACTCTGAACAAAAGCACTGGCACCTTTTCATTAAACGCGTTTAGAGAATGAAGGACAAGAGTGACTGAAACTAGTTCAAACAGACAAAATAATCATTCAAAAATGACAAAGAAATGAAAAACCAGACTAAAATGACTCTAAAACTGACATTTTTGAGGCACTCACTGTTGTCAGGTGTTTTTCTGTTATTCTTACTGAGGCTTCTGCACCTGTTGACAGGTGACTCCCTCCACAGGCTCAGATCCGAAGGATTCCATCTCCAGATGCTTCAGCTCCATCCACAGATGTTCCACAGGTCCATTTCTGGATGTTTTGAGTCATTACTACATGACTGAGAGGCTTTCTGATTCTCAGCAGCACGTCACTCCAGAAAGCCTCGATGGTCCTGGGAGGTCATCAGATTCTAAACAGATCCGAGACCTTGTGTCAAACACGGTACAGACTTCCGTCCATGACCAACATGTCATTTATAAAAAGGAGATTTTCCCAGAAGCTTTGTGGCAAATGCATCCATCTAATGTTTTCTGCTTCCCCCGGAGTCGCTAGTGGAAACCGCAGCCTGATCAGAGGCCCAGACTTCCCTCTCTCCAGCCCTACGGGGGAGCCCTGAGGCATTCCCTGACCAGCCGAGAATCATAGTTCCTCCAGTGAGTCCTGCGTCTTCCTCTGGGTTTCCTCCCAGTGGGACGTACACCTGAGACACCTCACCAGGGAGGCTGTCTACAGTCCCGTGGGCCTGAAAGTTCTAAATAATCCACCCAGCTGCACTCAGAGGAACACCAGTCAGCTCACAGAGAGTCTTCCAGCCGTCACAGTGAATCTGCTGGTCGGTAACGGTGACCGTAGCTCTCTGTGGTCCACGTCGTGTGTGTGGTACACACCCAGATACACAACAGATCAGTGACTACCTTCCACCTTCTGAACGGGAAGAGTGACTGAGCTAAATCAAAGACACCTGAGACGCTGATTTGTTCTGGCTAGTTTTCTTACACTGTTTTAAATCATTGTTCTATCAAAGCTAAATGTAAAAGAAGTTTCTGGTTTTCTTAGTTGATTTTCAGTCACGTTTAACGCTTTTTACTTTTGTCAGTTTTGAGTTATCGTTCTCAAACAATCTTATCCAGATCTGTGATTCTACTTTGATGTTTTCTTTAAAAAATGGTCTAAATACAAATGGACGGATACGGTCTTTGTTTGTGTGCACAAAGTAAAACTGAAGTTGCTCTTAATCAGTGAAGAAAATCATACTACGACTTTCTGATCTAAAGACGATGAGTCCATGTCAAACTTTATTTTTTCAGTAGAAACACATTAATGAATAAATGACAAAATATGATTAACATGATCATTCTTATCACTTTTTAAATTCTTTTATTCCTTCCAATATTAGATGGCTATCAGCTTACGCTGAGGATGGGTTTCCATGGTGACCGCATCCCTTTTGGGGCAAAGTGTTTCAGCAGGCTCAGGGCGGACCATGGGCTGCTGTAACAGGTGGGAAGCCAGGGTGGGCGGGAGCCGACGAATCACAACCATTTGAGCGTTTGGTCCACTCAGCAGATCCGTTAGCTCCTCGAGGGTAGAGCTCACCACCGACACGCCGTTCACTTCCACCAATCTGTGAGGCCAACGGCACGCTTTCATTTAGTACGTGAATAATAAAAAATCATAAAAAATAAACATTTCATGATTATCCGCCATAATCTGCTCAAGGAAAAGCGATTAGAAGATGTAAAAACCACAGCTCAGTGCATTTTTAAAGCATCCTTTCTGCCAAAACCTCGTTAATAATTTCCTGCATGAGTTTTGAAAATGACGGTTAAACAGCAACTCTTTATTTTTTATTAGCTGAATAAAGATGTTCTGCCTCTGAGGCTGCGATAAGTGTGTGTGTGTGTGTGTGTGTGTGTGTGTGTGTGTGTGTGTGTGTGTGTGTGTGTGTGTGTGTGTGTGTGTGCGCGCGTGTGTGTGTGTGTGTGTGTGTGTGTGTGTGTGTGTGTGCTAACACCACTGGGTTTATTTGCTCATTTATTTAAAAAACCTATTTTCCCTACTTACTTTCAGGCTTTCCATATTACATAACACTGTTGCTTGTTTTGAGGGGAGTTGTCTGATGGGGTTGCCATAGCAAGGGATCACAGGAAAATAAAGTGATGAGAAAAGAGGGAGACATGAGTATTGAACACAGCTCTAAGTTGCTGGAGGGCAAAAGTTTTCTCTGTAATCCTGGATTAAAAACTTTGTAAGTGTGCTTTTGTTACCTGTCATCCACACAGAGGTGAGAATTGTCCACCTCCACCACGACCAGTCCACCCTCTTCTCTGCAGCCACACGTGAAGCCGTAATGACCATCAGGTCCCTGGTTCTCCTGTATGACCATCAGCATGGCCGGGGACTGAGGGGACACCAGCTGGCTGAGATTACCAACAGACAAAGCCTTTTCTTGAGCCTTCTCCTGAAAAGCAAAAATACTATTAGTCTTATAAAAGGATCAGATCAGGTATTATTTAAACAGCTCTGATGCTTCTGTTTTAGGAACCAGAAGTGAACCAGGGGAGAGGTGAGCAGAACATGGCAGCATTTTGAGTCTTATTTCCTGATATTCAGACATTTCTCCTCTGATTGGCTAACAGCAACATGACTCTACCACTGACTCTGCTCTGCAAAATTGATGTATTATCTCACAAGCCTGAAGGAGTTCTGCTATGTGGTGCTACTGCTAACGGTTAGCTTCTACTAGCTGAGACGTGCTCTGCTCTCTCCTGGATGCTAAATAAACTACAGCCTTCCTTGTCGTGAGTCAAGATGGGAGAGTAAGGCTTTTCTAATCTGTCTTTTTTTAATCGCGGCTAATGCAAGAAAGAGTGGTAGAACAAAAAACTGTTTCTTAGTGAACTTGGTCTTTAAATAGCTACTAGAAATCCTAAAGCTCTCATTCACTCATTCTTTTCAATACGTTTGCTGTGGTCTCTTCTATGAATTAATGACTTGTACGGTATTCTGGCACTCCTGTTTCAGGAAGCAGAGGTTAGCCGGGGGAGAAGAGGGCTGAAAACAACAGGATTTTAATTCTTACTCATTAATATTCATGTTATGCAAACATCTTTCTTCTGATTTCTCTAACAGCAACATCACTCTGCAGCCGACTCTGTTCGCTCTGCAACGTTTTTCTCCACACTAACACAAGCCTGGAGGAATTCTGCCATGTTGTGGAGTTAAGAACGCTAACGGTTAGCTTCCACTAGCCGAGACATGCTCTGCTCTCTCTCCTGGATGCTAAAGTCGGGCGTACACTGTGCGACTTTTTCACTTTTTTGAGCCGATTTTCCACTCGTGAGAGAATCCACGAGATCGGGGCGAGTTTAGCGCCGAGCGTCGTGTAGTGTACAGGGGGTTACGAGAGGCGATTAACACCACGTGACCAGCTGCCGATCAGCAATCGTGAGCTCGCACGGACTTCTGGCGTGTTTGATATTTAGCTCATTCCTCATGAGGGTTGAAGCGGCGCTGCGAGCAGCTGCGATCCAAAAAGTACCAGAACCGCTCACGGCGCATGCGCAATCCTGCATCAACACCGCTCCTCGCTATTTCCCTAATAACACACGCTGTTCATTTTTGTTTCTACATGTTTTTTTACTCACAAAGATTGTCAAGAAAGCGTGTTTGTCGTGTTCATGTCAAATTAAACTGATCACAAAACACAGATTTACTTTATTTTATTTCGTTTTCCTCATCCAACCCCCATAAATCCCTGTGTGTCCTCCTGCAGCACTCCCGAAGGACAACAGGCAAGACAAGACAAAAAAGTCTGACGTGTTGAGTAAAAACTGCTATTTTTAGCACATTTTTAGGTCCGACGTGTTGCTACCAGACGTGCAGTGTGAGCAGTCAGGTCGCATGCGAGAACTGGGTCGTACAGTGTGAGCGCCTGACTCGTGAGATCTGCTCTGCGAGGAAGTCGTACCGTTTGAGCTGAAGCTGAACGCTGCGAGTGAAAAAGTCGCACAGTGTACGCCCGGCTTAAATCACCTACAGCCTTCCCCAGCCACAAGCCAAGATGGGTGAGTCCATGAAGGCTAATATTAAGTGTTTTCAGTTTCCGCACCTGTTTCCTTTTGGCGGCTAATGCAGGAACTGGGGTGAAGGACTATTTTCATGTTTAGCTTGTATGTTAAACAGGCAGGAGCACGCATGAAACGGTTTCTCAGTGAACCTGCTCTTTAAAACGTTAAATATTTAACAAGAGTAACGCAAACCTAAAATAAACCTGATCCGTTTTTAATAAGAGTTTCAGTGTTTTATTCAGCTTTGGGGGGATTTAGAAAGTCTCAGACCGCCAATCCGTGTAGATTTTGTGCCACTGAATCATAAAACAAACCCAAATATCATCCCCCCCTAAAACTCTCACATCCCACTACAGTTCCATAGAAGTCCCCGAGAGATAAGTAGTGAGTTTGCGTCAAAGACAGTCGGCCACCACGATATAATGATGAGCTTTAAGAGAGATGATACCGCAAGTAGCTCGCAGGAATCCAAAATAACTTGTGAGTCTGACCACGAAATTCCAATGGTTCCTTATCCAGCCTCTTGGCATACTCTTCTCCCCCCACATGGCGTGTGAAAGCCTCACAGCAATAGCAGCAGCTTTGGAAGGGTCAGAGGTCAAAGCTAAGGCTTCTCTCTCTTTCTCTCTAGACAAACGGGCCAGACAGGATATATGAAGGGAAACGCCGCCGAAGCCCCTCGACGAGACACTAATGTGCATCCTTTCCCTTGGAGCTCGCTCAGGTTTTGGACGTCAGGCAGCTGAGCTACTTTCTGTCCACGAATCCCGTCTTACCTGGGCTCGGCAGCTGGGAGTTCACCACGGATCTGCACGGAAGTGGGCGAATGAACTTTTAGTGGGATTAAAAGCAGACTAAGGGGAATGATGAAGTGTTAGAGATTATCCAACCAGACTGATCAGCTGCAGCTTTTTTTTATTATGACTTCAGTTAAACAACAACCGGAGATAATCAGCCTCTCCAACCAGGAGCGTGTCAAGGACACGAGGAGGAAGACTCTTAACTAAACTCTCTTCATCCTTAAAAACCACATGTGCCTCAGGGGAAAGGAAGAATCAATCACTTTCTTGCTTTAGCCTCTTTTATTGCCTCGGGGTTTTTAAACCATCAAAGCTGAGGAACGGATTTAAAGCCGTTTGCCCTCCACCCCTCTCTCCCTGCCTCCGTTTTCCCTTTTCCTCCCTTTCTGCTGCTTTTATTGATGCTCTCCAGTCGATCCTCCTGATTAGAGCGGCGATGATGAAATATTTCCTTATTGTTTGTAATTTGGCGCAGCCTGTGAGACCAAACACTGGGCGGTCTGTTCTTTATTTGAACAGTGGCTTTATCAGTTCCCAGACTGCTCCTCAGCTCTGACCTATGTGTTAACTCTGATTAGGTCATATGATAAACATTAGTGCTGCTGCTTTTCCCACAAACTCGGCACCTAAAAAAGTGTGGCCTCAGGGTGGCAACGTGACACGGGGCACCTTTCAAAGCCAAAGCCGCGTGCGTCCTTTCATGGCGTCTCGTTAGGGCTCCTCCGAGCAGATAAAAGAGCCACGTTAAGAAGGAAGGGAGCTCCTCTGGGTAAAGATGCAGATAGTTTTACACACACTGGCCCATTTCTCCCTCGCTGCTTTTGTCACACACATTCCATTGTTGGTATGGTCACAGGCTCTCGAATGTCAGCGCTAAACATCCTTTTCTCAGCAAATAGTGCATGTTCACCTAAATGACTTCACTCCTGCTCTGGATATTCCCTCTCACAAAAGCGGGTAAGTGCACAGCTGAACAGAAAAGCTGAGTGTGAGCTCAGCTTCTGCTTGGAAAGCTGTGTCCGTGAGACGATTTGTGCCACGGTTTGTGATCGAAGTAAACAAACATACTTTCTGTTTACTTCAGCTTCCAGCCTGATTGTCTGTGAGGAGGCGGGCAGAAATGCCAGCTGTGGTTAAAAAAGGCTCGATATCGGTGTTTGCCCTGGCATCGCTTCTCCTAAAAACACAACCCCGTTTCTGAAGTGAAATGATTTTATTATTCCATACCAAACATGCCTCTCTCTGTATCTAAAGTTGCTCTGGTGCAGACACGGGTTTCTCACTGTCCACTTTTAGAAATACAAACATTCTCCGTCTCTGACCAAACTGCTTTCCCACATTTTGGTGCAACATGCTGTTGCTTAAACCCTAACCCTCACGGATGAGGGATGGCAGGAGACGGGCAGGCGGATTGGTGCCGCGTCTGCAGTGATGCAGGCGTTGTTCCGGTCCGTTGTGGTTAAGAGAGAGCTCTCCTGGAAGGTGAGGCTCGCAACGTACCTTTTGATCTACGTTCCAACCCTCACCTATGGTCATCAGCTCTGGGTAGTGACAGAAAGAATAAGATTGTGGATACAAGCGGCCAAATCACAGGGTAGCTGGGCTCTCCCCTTAGATAGGGTGATAAGCTCGGTCATCCGGGAGGGGCTTGGAGAAGATCTGCTGCTCCTCTACATCGAGAGGAGCCAGTAGAGGTGGCTCGGGCCATTTGGTTAGGATTCCTCCTGGATGCCTCTCTGGTGAGGTTTTACAGGCACGTCCAACTGGATAGAGACCTAAAAGAAGACCCAGCACACGATGGAGGCAGTCTGTTTTTGTCTGACCAGGGAACGCCTTAGGATTCCCCAGAGGAGCTCTCCCAAGTGACTGGGGAGAGGGATGTCTGGGCCTCTCTGCTTAAGCTGCTGCCCCCGTGACCCGACCCTGGATAAGCGGCTGAAAATGGACGGATGGATGGATATTTAGCACGCTCCTTAAATTTCTACCTTAACACAGCTTTCCTGCAAAGCCTTTTGGAGATGAGCAGCCTGCCGATTGAGATGCACGATGGTAATTTCCTCCTTGAAGACTTGGCAGTTGAGCTTCATCTTTTCCAGGAGACGAACTTCCAACTGTCTGAATGAAGAGAGACCGCATGTCAAAGAAAGCCACCCGCACCTATACTTAAAGTCAAACATGATTTATAAAACACGCTTTTACACGCCAGTATTATGCACTTTTGTCAAAACTGAATGGAGGTTTCACCAGAGTTAAACGGCCAGAGCACATAGTTCACTTCCAGTGGAGACCTGTGGAGAAGTGAACGTTCAGAGGCGACGTGAACACGAGTCCTGGTCCGCGTCTAGCATCAGCAGCCAGAGAACATCGAGCACAACGGTGACCAGGGTGAGCGTGTTTTTATGTCAAGCAGCGGTTAAAAGAAAATGCTGGTGTTGTGATGGGTTTGGTCTTATCTGAGCATAAAACCAAAGGTCCAGAATGTCTGATGTGAGTTGTCTGACAAACATTAAAACATAAATGAACATCAACAAATGAAAGCAGGCCACAATTAGCAGGATTGTGACATAGTTTGGACCGGAAGCCAGGGAAGTAAAACTGGGAAGGTGAAACTTGTTCCTGTGTGCACGTACGGGTCGAGAGTCTGAACGAAACAACCGTAACGCTCATGTCAGAGCCCGACTGAAGGGAATAATGGAGCAGCCTTCTCGAGGCCATTTTTAAAATTAAGGCTTGGCTTTTGTCCCAGTCAAAGTTGGCTTAAACCTACCTGTTACTTTTGTTTATTTGTTCTTTAAAAAGCGGACATTTTAGTTTTTATGGTGGTAAACGAGCAGTGGTTTTCCAAAGCTGGAAGAATTTGCAGGATTTCATATAAATCTGAGTGTCGTTAGCATTTGTGTGTGTGTGTGTGTGTGTGTGTGTGTGTGTGTGTGTGTGTGTGTGTGTGTGTGTGTGTGTGTGTGTGTGTGTGAGTGTGTGTGTGTGTGTGTCTTCTCGATCCCCAGTGAGTCGTGGAGGATGGCTGCTTATACTGAGCCAGGATTCTCTGGAGGTTTCTTCCTGTTAAAAGGGAGTTTTCCTCTCCACAGTCGCTGCATGCTTGCTTAGTATGAGGATTGCTGTATAGACTTGATGCAATTTGCTGGGTTCCTTATACAGGAAACATTATTTCTGATTGGCTTAATGAACTGTCCTGAATTGGAATGTTTATTATGTGAAGAGCCTTGAGGCGACTCTTGTCGTGATTTGGCGCTTTATAAATAAACTTGAATTGAAATGAAAATGTAATGAAAGTTGTAATTCTAAACAAAACAACCAGAGAGTGAAATTAGAACTGGGATGCTGCACAAATCTGTAGTAGATTTCCTTCTTACCAAGTATTTAAACAAAGTGAAAGAAAAAACCAGTTAAAATCACGATGATGTGGCTTCCTTAAGCAGCTCTTTCCACCTAAAGGAAGGTGGTTTTAATGGTTTGATCTGATTTGGTGAATTTTATTGGCCCTTCCTGAACGGAGAATACTTTGGTGTCATCACTTCAATAACTGTAATGTGCTTTTTGAAACGGTGGACCCACTTGTTCCCGTGAGCTGTGGAATTGTTCACGTTGTCTCTGAGGATCAGAAAGTTCTGCCTCTTCTCCATCAGCTGGCTGTTTACCACCTCCAGCCTCTCTCTCAGCTCAGCAGACCCAAGCCCATCCACATTCACATCGGTGTCCATGGTCTTCAACTCAGAACAAAATGCTACCAGGCCATGATGGAGCTCCTGCACCTTTAGAAGGAAGCCAAGAAAATGGTCAACGTAAAGGCCTTTGAAAAGTTGTACGTTGTCATTCGTGAACAGCGATACGAACCTGAAGAACAACATTTTGGAGCGAATCCACCTGCTGGTTTAATTCCCTGATCCTCTCTTCTTTAGCTGGGTGGTTGTCCAGGACATTTTCGTTGCTCCTGTCGGTTTCTGTAGTGCTGTTGATTTCAGGGGTATGGTGCAAATCAGGGCTTGTGGACTTATCCTGCGGTGTGAAATAGCCCAGAAATGAGTTTGTGTACATTTGAATTACACGTTTGTTTCCCACTACTTCTGCAAGGTTGAGCCCAAAAGGCACATGAGGAAAGCTGAGACCCCTCCGCATCTACAGTCATATGTTGGGTGTTGGACTGTAGATTATTGAATTGGTGGTTTAATTCATGTTATGTTAGTTATTGTGTGAACGTGTGTGTGAATGGGTGAATGACTGATTGTGTTGGAAAGCACCTTGGGGGGTTCCAGAAATACAGGCCATTTGCCATTTTACCATTTCCTTAAGGTCTTGGCAGAGAATGACCAAATGTGACAGATTTTGTTGTAAAGCGCCTTGGGGGGTTGTAAAATGAGAACACGCTGCATCAACTACACGCAATTTACCGGTTTTTTGTCAGTTAATTCCATCGTAGTTTTCGCCCCTTTTTGATTAACAGTTTATGTTGTTTAATGTTCCTTTTAGAGTATTTCTGTCCTTGTGTTTGGGTCCCCTTACGTTACTGTTCCGGCTCAACTTTACTCATGTTTTTTATACATTTGCAGCCATCTCTAGTCGACTCGTTGATGTTTTACTTCCACAAATAACACAAGCTTGGAGGAGTTCTTCCATGTGGTGGAGTTGCTAATGCTAAGAGCAACTCTTTCCTTCCTGTTAAAAGGGAGTTTTCCTCTCCACTGTCACTAAATGCTTGCTTAGTATGAGGATTGCTGTAAAGACTCTGACACTAGTCAGTGACTCGATGCGACCTGCTGGGTTCCTCATATAGGAAACTTTTTACTGATTGGCTTAATGACCTGACCTGTGTTGGAATGTTTACTGTGTGAAGGTCCTCGAGACGACTCTTGTCGTGATTTGGCGCTTTATAAATAAACTTGAATTGAATTGAAAGAGTTAGCTTCTACTAGTCGAGACAATCCCTGCTGTTTCCTGAATGCTAAACCAACAGCAGGCTCCCCCGTCCCGAGCCAGAATGGGTGAGTCCATGAATGTTAAATGACAGTGTGATGCAGATCTTCAGGCTTTTTTGAGCCAAGCGTTTTTTTGTCTCTGTCGAAAGCTAAAAGCAGGAAACAGAGACTGTTTCTACGTTCAGCCTGCATGTTAAACTCGGAGTGACCGATCATTTTCAAGAATAACGAGTTAAAACTGGTGTATTAGTGACCCTGCTCTTTAAAGTGGCAGTGTGTAGTTTTCTGATGACAGTACATACATACATTTCAAGGTATTTTTTACACCATATCGGCTTTGGCGTGACTCCTCAGACTTTGATGGTCCTTCAGTTAATTCCATCAAGAGAAGGCAATGGTGATTTTTCTGGCGCTGTAGTTTCCGGATCTGCTCGAGATCCTGCACCTGCCAATTATGACATCACACTACGGCAATATCGCTCGGCCAAAACAAAATGCATCTCTTTTTCCATTCTGTTCCTTCACGTATGTTTTGGAAAGAGTTTGGCAGTTTTGTTAATAAACTTGTTATAATAAATGTTTTTAAACGTGGTAACGGAACTTTCATAAGTCATACGTCCAGCCAGTCATCTAGTGTGATGTCATCGACAGGCGCAGGACCCGAGCCAGCCAGAAGGGAAAATGGCGTTTAATATGGCGTCCCCCAAACACACTAGGCCCACGCCCTATGTACTTTACACTCGGTTTTTATGGTTATACGGTACGAAGCCGCCATCATTTTTCAACAACTGGGTGTCACTTTATTCATTTTCAATTTGATGGATATTTCCAGAGATTAACGGTAAAATTGACACATTGTCACTTTAACGTTTATTCTCCCCAGTCAGTGATCATGCACACTTGTTGTTCACTGGCTCACCTGTACCTGTTTTGCAATCACAACCCTCAGTATTAAAGTTCCCCCGGATCATGCAATACCCGTCACATCCTCCTGTTGTTTTCCTCCCAGTTTTCCTCCATGTTCCTGTTTTTTATCATTAAAATACCTGGCTCCTCAACCAAAATCCTGACATCTACTGGGAGTTTTGAAGGTGTTCCAAGGCCAGAGAGGATATAATATTCCCTATGGCAATTCTGGGGTCTTCTCTGAATCTCTTTCCAGAGGGACAACCATTGATAACCTACAAGAGACGTTGAGCAGGAGGCATCCTAATCAGGTGTCCTAACCACCCAAAAGGACTCCTTTCTCATTGTTTCAGTGAAGATCCAAGTCCATGACCATTTGTCAGGGTTGGAGAATAGATAGACCACTTATTTAAAAGCTTAGGCTTTCAGCTCAGGCTCTGCTTTACCACTACAGGCAGGGTCAAAACTCTCATGACTGAAAACAAAGCCCTGATCCACTGGTCAATATCTTACTCACAAGCATGTCATCAACATTCCCACAGTACTTCACTTAAAACAGAACTTTCCAAACTCCGTGGGAGCGGTCTGTCCTCGTCCGATCTAGAGCCACAAACTCCATTCACCCAATTCAGTGCAGCTTTAGCAAGCATTAGCTAAAGGATACATACCGTTTTACAGAGGTATAGCTCCAGCTGTCCGTTCTCTGACTTTGAGGTCAGAATGGAGCCAATCTGCCGATCTGGGGAAAGCTGCTCTGGTGAATCTTTAAAGTAAAAACACACAAAAAGATACTTTATGAGTTACATGTTTATGTTTAGTAAATGAGAAATGATATCAAATGAGATACCTTGATGTTCCTTTAGAATCAATGAGCTCTTATCATCAGTCATTCCAAGCATTTTAAAGCACGAACCCATGATTTTTCCTACTGTCGTTTCCTTTGGAGTTCTGAGATGAACTATCCGTTCTGACGCTGTAAGACAACAGGCATGGCAAAAGGATCTGCTAAAAATGAATCATTAGCACACAAATGTTCTCATTTCTGCAGGTAATCACCATTAATTGTGATCTCTATCATCTGAGAAGTCCGAGACGCGGTGAGGTTATGGGAGGGGTTTCTGCTGTAGAGAAAAACCAAACAAATGAAATAGTTTTGTTTCTGCGGTGATGTTTTGACTCACTGGAAAGTTGAAACACAGCAGTTTAAAGTTTCAGAAGAATTTCCTGCATATGTCGAGTTAAGCCTAGTTTGTGCTTCTGGGTCAGCTCCACGAGGGAGAGGAGCACGCATTGACAGAGACGGTTTGCTCTGATACGTCTCCGTCTCCTGGGAAGTGTTGCAAAGTAATTCCCCGCCAGGAAAACAGAGGGCTTAACGCTGTTCTGGGGTCTCCTGTCATGAATCTGGTCCAAGATAGTTCATTTACTGTTGTGTTTATGTTGTTTTTTTGTATTTCAGTGACTTTTTAACACAGACAAATGTGTCCCTCATTCTCCTCCACGTCTTCATGTGCTCGCCACCTCTAAACCCCGTTTCCCATCATTTCATCATTTCATAAAATGCTTGCTGTGTATCTTTGAACTCCTCCAGTCACGGGTGAATAAAACGTTCATATTTTAAGAGTTTTTCCACGAGCCATTCTTCTGGCTGCTACATGTCTCCTTATTAGGGGTGGGCCGGTATGCCCCTGTGTATTCGAATGTGTTGGTACGCCCCTGTTGGTCCGGTACGCACTTTCGTACCGAGTTTCTACTCTAATTGCGTTGCACATTAACCTACAGCATGCTAACTAAACACATGGTGGAGCGCCGCAGAAGTTATGGCAAGCGACTCGGGAAAGGAAGAGCTCGAATATCCACCGTTGTCATTGAGGTCTCCTGTTTGGGAACACTACGGCTTCCCAGTGAGATATGTAGCAATGAACAGATGTATCCCCACATTGCCAAGCTAGCAAAATGCTACCTTGCCATACCAGCGTCCTCTGTCCCCAGCGAGAGGGTTTTTCTACTGCTGGAGATGTCGTAACAGCCAACAGATCTGGCCTTTCTGCAGACAATGCGGACCAATTTCTGGCAAAACATGAAGGTTGAGTGAACCTAAAAAGGCAACAAGCTGGAACTCCTAATGTTGTAAAATGTTTTTGTTAACCTAGTTCAATCTGAATAATTCTGTTTGTTCCTTCATTTACACTTTAAGTTCTTCAAAAAACAAAAAACACAATAATCATCTTGCCGATTCCTAAATAAGTATTTAAACTTGCATATATTTATTTTTTTTATGTTAAAGAGTTTACAAGAGACTATAAGAATAGTTGCACTTTGAAAATTCTTAAAGTTTTGCTTGTATGCACACAATAATTCTTTATTTCAGTAGATAAGCCAGCTCTTTCATTTGCACTTTGTTTATTTATTATTTTTATGGTAAATGTTAATTTTCATTTACTGGGAATATCTCGCAGAATGTAATGCAAGTAAATGTTCAACTTAAATGGAAATAAAGAATTTACCGTTTACACAAAAGAAAAACGTTTTAATTTTTTTACTGTACCGAAAACGTACCGAACCGTAATATTAAGCCAAGGTATGTACCGAACCAGGATGTCAGGCGTACCGGCACCCCCCTACTCCTTATAGGTATCTTCAGCTTTCTTTATGTTTTTGAGGGCGACATGGCGGTGCTGTTGATGAAAGTGGTGTCCTGACCAATCACAAGCTTGCATTCTCCATCTCATTCAACGGATGTGTGGAAAAGTGGGCCCGGCTCCTTGCGAGCCTGCTGGAAAGCCCTCACGAGGACGGATAATGGTGTTGCGTGTCTCCGTACCGACGCAGACGCAGAAGCATGAACTAGGCTTTAGACCCCATAGGTGCTGGCCTGTAGGTCTTTGGAAATATAACATCTGACGTTACTTTTTTTTATTATGTTTCCGAATCAGGAAGACATTTTCTTGAATTGCATTGAAACCATGTCTGTAGTTACTACCTTACCTTACCTTAGTTTGAGAGAACGTTGACGCATGCTCAGGCAGCTTACGTGTGGAGAGGACTTGGACTTGGTCATTGATGCCAAAGTTGCGGTGAAGGTCTCCACATTGTCAGGCCCTAAAGACCATGGATCATAAAATAGTATGAGTACATAAAATTTGCATTAATTAACGCCCAGCTGTGAATGATGATTACCAAGCATCGAGTCAAGAGTCCGAGTCATTGTGCTCGGAGGGTGAAGCTCGTTATAAATGGCCGAGAGTAGCTGCTCCCTGTCCTCCAGGGTGATGATGTGCAGGATGTCCAGAGTCGTTGAATCCACTGAGGCTAAATCTGCTCCACACAGCTGAGCCTCTGAAAAAGAAGCATTTACTGGTAAGCCAGCACACTCTAAGAAATCCAGTGAATGTGGCTGAACGATTGATCTTTGACTTTTGAGAAGAACCTGGTGATCCTGAAGATGGGAGTTGAATCTAAAGACCAATTGGTTGTTTTTGTTAATGATCTCTAAATTTGGAATGTGGCGATGAAATAGACAGTTAGAAACATGTTTCTTCTTCGTTGAATTGCCGCATTAAAGTGGAGGAGATGTTTGAGTACACTTCTAAATCTGGGGAGTGTGTTGACTCAAATTCCCACATGGGCCCTGATAGGGTCTCCCAAGGCAAAGTGGAAGGGTCATACTAAGAGCAGACATTATTGGAGGGTTGACTGTCCAGTCTACATGTTAGTACTTGGAGAAGGTGCGTGACCATGTTACCTGAATGATTCTGTGGGGGTTGCCGTGGGAGCAGGGATCACTGGGGCCAACTGTAAGGGCTACATGGTGCCTTCATGACCAGAGCAAGAATCTTTACACAGTCTTGTCCCAAATTTGAGCTCATTCCTAGTGCTAATTCCCAATCCTGTTTGTGGTGTTCATGGACAGAGTCTCAAGTTGTACCTGTGGAGGTGAGGGTGTCTTGTTCGGCAACCTCAGGATCTCACCACTGCTTTGATGTAGTTTTGTTGGCGTCTTGAGACCAAGTCCATCAGCCAGGATAAGATTCAGCCCCTCCAAATCTGAGGCCATGGCTTTTGGCCAAAATGAAACATGGAATGCTCCCTCTGGGTTGGGATTGAGTCTCTGCCTCAAGTGGGGGAGTTCAGGTATCATGGCATTTTATTCTTGGATCTGGGCTTAGTCTTCAGTTATGAGGTCTTTTCTATGGTTTGTTGTGGTAGAGAAGGAGCTGAGTTGTTATAAAAAGCTTTTAGATTACTGGTTAGTCTTTATTCTAACCCGTTGGCCCTAGAACAAGATCTTGAGTACAACTGGCCAAAATGAGCTTTCTCCATAGGGGAGCTGGACTCATTTATGGAGAAGAGCCGCTGCTTCTGACGCATCAACAGGAGCAAACTGAAGTAGTGACGCATCTGCCTCCTGGTTGCCTCCTTCTGGTGGATTTCCAGATAAGTCCCAGAACTTGCAGAATGGATTATATTTCTTCTCTGACCTGGGAAACCCTTGGGATCCTCCACAAGAAGCTGAGATGTTTCACTCCTAAAAAGGAGTTTTACATAAAAAATAAGACACCCAAAACGGTTCTTCTACATCCAACTCAGTCTGACATGCTGGAGGTTTAACATAATGCTTTACTTACGGTGCCAAGTTTCATGTCTTTGATCCTTGAGTTATTGACACTGTGTTCTATGAAACTGTGATGTCTGATTTTGCTGTGGTGAAATAAAACAGGGCAATGAGACACAAGATCATGTTTTACCTCTGATGAAAGGGAGACATTTCTGCAGGCCAATACTGGTGAACCACTTGCAGACTTCCTCTGTGTTCAGCTCACTGAGAGATTTATACACTTGCCTGTTTACATCCTGGAGAAACAGAGGCTAGATTCATGCTGGCTGTGCGACATTTTGCAGGAGCATGAAGCCAGATCCTAAGAAGCACTCATCTCTGTAATTAAGCCTAGTTACATGAATAAATTCCATTGTTTCAGACTAGATTTAGTGCAAGGTGCAGCTGTTATATATTCAGCTTCTCTTGCATCCAGTAATTATTTAAATTACTCACTTGACATTGATGGGTTACAACATGGAATTAACCTTGATACTTGTTTTTGCGATATGAATGTTGTACAGTGCACGAAAGCTTGGTAATATAAATTAAACTCAGTCTTTAAGTGCCCAACAGGGTGCTGATGTTCACCGAAGGGACGGTACCTTTTCAGTGGAGTTTCCATTCTGATCCATAGAAGGAGGGATGCATGACGCTGCATGAAGCAGAAAATGAATAAATGAGCCGGAGTTTACATCATGTGCAGCAGCAGCTCTCCTCAAAGTGACTCACCAACAGTTTTGCGTCGTTCTCGAGACAATCCCTTCCTTTCCTTGCACAGGTCTGTAGTTTGTGATAACGTTTGGAAAGTAGAGCTTTGAGTTGTTGTGTCTCCAAAGCTGCAGGAGCGCATCAATGGCCGCTGTTATGTAACAAAGTTTTTTTCACACCATTAGACAGAAATAAGTAGTTTAGACACATTTCAAGAATGTTCTGCTTCAACATTAAAAAACAGCCAAACAAGCACACTGATAAAGTTGTGGATCCACCATGGAGGTCAGCCATTTTACCTCGTGATCTACACTATTAATTAAAGATCGTTTAAATTTTGCATGCACATCGTTAAATCCCTCGGCTCTATTGGCCTAGCTGTTTGCAGCTCTTGATTTCTCTGAGTGGCTGCACCGGTGGGTGCAGGATAAAAGCATGCTTGGTGCAGCTTCAGGGAGACCACCTCAGGTGCTCCTGCCTGTGTGGCATTTAGGTGAGACCTTTTGGAGGCTGATTTCAATAAAACTACTCTCAAACTCCAAAATCTGTTCAGTCTCCATTTTATCATGTGGTCCCAATGAGGCAGGTTGTGACATAAATAGGGGCTCGTCCGGGATCACCCGTTGAACCATTTGGAGGAGACCGAACCTGGGGCTTCATTCATCAAACGTTCGTAGAAATATTCCTAAATACATTCCTATGAATGAAATTTAGAATATTCATACGAATGATAAAAATCCTGATTTATGAAACATGCGGTGTCCTCTCATACGCATGTTCCTCCGCACTTATCTGATGATAAATCCCACCTGTGCGTACCCAGGTGCTCATCCGTTCTCAGTCATTTACATATAGAAACTCCCTCAATTAACCATATTTGGTCACGCTACATCCTCAGTTCTATGTTCTACCCAGAAAAAAAGAAAACTTGAAAGATTGAGACACTGGCTGCCAAAGTGCAACAAAACCAAGCAAGTTGCAGATGTTATAAACGTGTTTGGGACAGAGGAGAGGTTCCCATCAGGAATAAATAAAATCTTTACCATGATAAATCGTAGAGTAACGGGTTATCATTTACATTTAAGGAGTCGTTCTGGATGCTGTTCGGAGATGTCCAAGAGCGCAGCCTCTTCTGAACTGTCATTCAGTCTGGTATTCTTGACATTGCGTGTGTGATCGAGGAGCAGAGGAGGTTCTGGAGGTTCTCGTAGTTGTAAAATAGAATATGAACTGGAATCGGATTTGTGCGGTTTACATGTCGCTCCATAATGGGTCCCAAATCACCGCATAGCTCCAGAAGGATCTCCTGTCAGTGTGCTCACGGTTTACTCCAGAGAGCACGCACTGACAAATCCTTAATCATAACATAGAAATGATCTTTTATCTAGCGCAGCTGGAGCAAAATCACGAGGCGTTTCACAAAAACAATTAAATTAATACATTACAGACAAAATAATACTGATTATTAAAAAGATTAAAATATAATAAAAATGGGAAGAGACAAAATTGTGATTTCAATAAACACAACAACCGTTCGACAACGTCAGATTCCCGTCGGATGTTGTAACAACAATTCTGTGACTCTGCAGTTCTTCCACCGAAGTATTAGGTCAAATCGTAGGTGGATGAGGAGCATGAGTGGATGACTGGGACCTTGAGTTTTGCAGTTCTAGGTGCTGTTCCTATGCATGGTCTGAAGTTTTCTTATATTCAGGAACATTTTCAGGTACAGGTAAATGATGAACACCACACAATGTGTAAAATAGTTCCTACCCACGATGTACGCACAGAGCTGTGCATAAGCACGGTTGATAAACGAGGCCCCGGGAATTCTCTACGTTTTTGCGGCTCTGGTGCGAGCACCATCTTGTTCTTCTCTGGTGAGCTCTGCCGCTGGTTGGTGCAGGCCTGTCACAGTCCACCATCTTGTTTGTTTGTTTGTTCTTGCAGTCGTGTCCATTGTTTGTTCGGTTTGGTTTGGCTTTGCTTGCCTTGCATGCTTTTTAGAACCACCAGAACAGATGCAGATCAGCTTTGTGCAATACCTTTTGGTGAGTATATGTATCCATCCCAGCTCTGTTAGAAAGCAGGTGAAGGTCAGTCTTCAACATGGCAGGACAGCTTATGTCTCTGTTGTTTGGATCATCTGAAAAGTAACAAACAATCATTCATATTGGACACATCTTATGCCTTAGTGCTCTTTAGCCCTTTTGCACAGCTGCCAGGGCATTTTCCAGCTGTGACTGGAGTCCGCTGGTGGAGTTACTCAGCAAACAGTCAAACACAGGTCTGTCTGGTTGACGACATGCTTCTCTGATGGCCCGTGCTCTTTCCCACAGGTGACAGGACTGATTTTGACCTGTGATTTAGCAGAATAGCTGTTTTGTCATTTAACTAACTAAACAAACAAGAAACAAATGACAGTTCCCTTCGCTTAATACTTAATTACACGACCTGTTGAGGCAATCACTGCTGTCAACTAGGTGATTTCTACAGCTCTGGAAAAGAGAGGAATGAAGATTGGTCCCAGCAAGACAGAATACACGGGTGCAAATGAGAGGGACACCAGTTAAACGGTGATGTTACACGGAGGAGAAGATAAGAAGGCTGAACTGGAAGCTGCAGAGCTCCAGATGTTGAGGTTCTCTTTGGGAGTGATGAGGAGAGATGGGATCTGGAATGAGTCCACCAGAGGGAAAGCTCATGTTAGATGTTTAGGAGATAAAGTCAGAGAGACCAGAGTGAGATGGTTTGGACATGTCCAGAGGAGAGACAGTGATTATAAAGGTAGAATGATGCTGAGGTTGGAGCCACATGGCTGAGAGGAAGACCAAAAAGGAGATTCATGGATGTTGTGAAAGAGGACATGAAGTCAGTTGATGTGAGGGCAGAGGATGCAGAAGATGGGACATGAATGACTTGCTGTGGAGACACCTGAAGGGACAAGCCACATCATTTCTCATGAAGCAAAGAACGCCATGAGGAACATCAAGCTGTTAGGACACGATCGTTTAGTGCAAGTCTTTTTGGTCTCTTGTGATTCAGGTTTCATGCGAGTGGTACACGCACCCTGATAGCAGACAGTCGCGTGACTGTCACCCTGATTTTAACATTCAGTGTTAATGCACCTTCATTTCACTCGTCTTTGGGGGTATTTTAGTTCATTCTGGAGGTAAAAATGTATTTTCTAGTCCTTCGGGTGATTTTTAGTCATTTTCTAACTGTGATGCTTGCTTGAATTCATTATAGTGACAAACTTTGGTTTTGCTTTCTCTGTTTTTGTGTCCATTTCTGAACTCCAAGTTCAATCTGCTCAACATGTAGTCATGTGTGTACATCGCTGTAGCCGTTTTCCATTCCTTCCAACAATTAAAAAAGGTTTCTGGACCAACATCAGTTGCTTCCACATCAGACATTATTTGCTTTGTCATGTCAGTTAAAAAGCATCATACCTGTAAATGCTGAACAGCCATTCCCTAAGAGCGTATGCATTAAAATATGAAACCTACACGCTCAGTGTCCTGAACTCTTTTACCTCACCAAATGCAGCAACATGTAATTTAACCCTAGATTTCACCGTCGTAATGAAAACATGACAAAGCTATTTCACTATCTTGTTCATAAAAACACTGGCGTCAGGACTTTTCATTTGGGTGACGCCAACATTTTTGTTGGCGTGAATGTCATGAGTGGCATGCCTTTGCAGATTATCAACCAGGTTTTGTAGTTTGCACTACCTGTTTTGGGAAATGCACGAGTGCATTTTTATTCCGTTGTGAGTAATGAAGCAAAGCAACGTTTGCACACCAGCTGGTGCATTTTCCTCTCGTCAGTGAAAGGCTCACTCTGTAAGTCTATTCCTATGCATGAATCAGATCTCAGTGACGCTGCCTGAGAAAGCACTAAACACTCTTTACACAGCAATTTGAAATCTACAGCACATCTAAAGCAGCTCCATCAAATGAATCTACATTTACATATTACTGTATTTAAAGAGGTAAAGGAGTACAAGACGCTGAATACATACATTTATATATGTATATTTTTACTGCAAATGCTCTTTGCAGTTCTAATTCGTTCCTTTTGCAAAAACAAAGTACAAACATAAGCAACACCTTCCGACTAAAGCTGCTCAATGGTAAACCATACTCAGCAAAAAACAAGTTATAACATTACCTGACATAAATGATATAGAAACCTAGATGAGAAGTCCACCTGAAACCACTTTTTTATTGCAGTACATACTGGAACTAGGGATGCTCAACATCGTCTTTTACCAACGTCCAATTTACCAGTAGAATCCAACCCTATCTAAAAGATACCGATATATGCGAAGAAGAAAGAAAACCAGATCATTTTAGGCAACTAGCATCTCAGATCTCCTATCATGCATAGTTATGCATTAAACAGTATCTGTGCAAAATAGAACAACTAGTTCATTTTAAAGGTGCAATATGGAAAAATGAAGTAAGAATGACATCCGGTGTTCACATTTGGGTACCGCAGTCCATTCAAAATAACTCACTGTCTCACTCCCGTCGCGTGAGTTGCTTGGCTGTTGCCAGTTACGGATCAGCACCAGAAGATTCTAGATGACGAGCAAAAGCGTGTCATACAAAAGCTGATATGTAGATAAATACATTGTCATATCTGGTGTTAGCAATCTTGAGTGTTTTATAGTAGGGAGCACTTACTACACTTATTATGGTAATATTTCTACGCCACTACAGGAAGAGCAGTTATTTGCCATCTTGATGTTTTTATAAAGGAAGTAAAACACCACAATTGACTCATTATTCACTTCAAACACACATTTCAATGTAATATTGAGTTGCTGGTAATGAAATAGAGTGGCATGAGAACGTTTCAGAAATAACTAGTTGCTTCTAATTCACTGTTGGCATTTAGACCAACATTAGCCGTCAGCCTGCTTCACCTGATTTTAGAGTGAAAGAAAAAGATACCGTGGCTTCTTGGGGTTCAACAAATAACTTCTAGGTCGCTCTTGTTTACTGGCTTCAGTTCTTTACGCATCTCTGGAAGTTTTTGCCTGCCAGTGTCGAACTGCAAATGCAGCTGCTGTATTGTTAGCTTGGCACAGACTTGGTAACCTCACAAACTCAGACAGTAACTATGTCACCCTCTAGTTTTATTCAAAGGAGAAAAGCTGACGACAAAGTCAATAAAATATTATTCCGTATTTGGGACTGAAGTGAAACATTCAACATACTGTAGGTCATTCTTGCAAATCCAAATGTCACCTAAGTGAAATGGTTCCATTTGGGAGGCATTTTCAGATAAAAATACAAAGGAATACATGAAAATGACTTTTGTGTGTGTGATAACTAAAACAATGACTTTTTCTTTTATAGGGAATGACTACTAAGCCTTCATACGTACAGTTCAACTGATGCATGTTGAAAAGCATTTGTGTTTAATTGAACTGAAAGGGAAACGGCTACTATGTCGTTCACAAATATGGCTAACATTTGTGACGGTTGAAACCAAAGTGACGAAGGAAAACTGCAACAGAAGGGCGTCCGCATCTATAAACTCACCAGCAACTTTAAAGGTCGGCTCTCTGTGACATCAAAAAATCTGCATAATTCTTCGAACACCCCCCCCCCCCCCACACACACACACACACACACACCCAAGGATTAGTTTCTAAAAAGCCAGTCTGACAAGGATGTGGGTTTAGAGCACATGTGTCAGACACATCTGGCCCGTGGAGCATTTTTATGTGGTCCGCAAGATAAATATCAAAAACATATTAAAACTGGCCCGCTGGCTGATTTTACCGCAAATACTACAACTCCCATGATGCTTTGCAGCGTTAGTACGGAGCCGACGCGCCCCCCTCCTTTGTGTTTTTTCCAGCGCCTGCTGCCGGTGTCTGCAGCTCCGCTGTCTCAGACAAACTACACTCCTCTCACTCAGTGCCGAGTTCACTCAGCTGTTTTCTGACATTGAAGCCCAGAAACGGAGATTCTAGCTGCTCAGTAATGTGTTCACGACTGAAAGAGAAAGTTTTCCAACTAACGTCCAGACAGAGCTGATATAACTCCAGCGAGCAGCGACACGCTCAAACCAGCACGACTCTGTGGCTGTGTTTCCTCCCCGACACACAACGACGTGGTCAAGCTGCTCAGACATGTTCATCAGCACAAACCTATGTGAGCACCTGTTGTCATCTAATGTTGTCATTATTATGATGAAGATGAACAAAACAACAGGAGTCTCCTCCTCAGCTCAGATCAACCCCATGATGCAGGTATCTGGCTGGAACAGGTGAGCATCACAGTAAACCAGTGGAGCAAACTGAGCTTTAAATATGTTGGTTTGATGCTCTTTTTCTGCTCCAAAACATGAAAGTTAACAGGTGAGATGTTGCATTTTCATTTAAGATAAAATGATATTTTTATTTTGTTGTTGGCCCGTGAGAAAAGATTTAGCCTACAGTAAACAGGAAGTGGAAAGGCTGCAGATAGATGAGTAGAATAGAAAATCCCTTTATTGTTCCTCAGTGGGGAAAGCTAGACGTCACAGCAGCGATGACACGTATTACAGGAGAAAAAAGGAGAATAAAAAATAAGAAAAATGAATAAACAAGAAAACATAAATCCTGAATAGATTTTAAAAATGCTGAATATACCACAAGTAATGAATACCACTGATGCCTTTTATTTAAAACGGACTTGCTCGTGTGTAATCTGGTTATTCCACATTCAGTGTTAATGCAGAAATATGTTTGTTTCCAAATGAAAAGGTTCAAAATTGCATATATGTTGATAAAGAAAATGCAAATTTTCCGTCACTTTTTCAAAAATATTAAGTTTGGCCCTCGACTCCGTCCCAGAGTTTCATTTCGGCCCCGCGTGAGTTTGAGTTTGACACCCCTGGTTTAGAGGGAATAGAAGTCAGATAAGATGGTGTTGCTGCTGTGTCAGCAACACCATCCATAGGTCCTGCAAAGCCAGTGTGGTGCAGCCTCTTCATCACCTGGCCGAGGAGAGTCAGACAGCTCTGTGTGCAAAGCAGATGACTTATCATGAGCAGGCACCTAAGAAAAATGATGAGTCTTGGCTAAATTTGAGGACAGGAGGCAGAACCTTTAATCTGTCTGACCTCAGACATTACAGCATT